CAGGCACGCACCACCATGCCCAGCTGATTTTTTGTATTTTTAGTAGAGACGGGGTTTCACCATGTTGACCAGGATGGTCTCGATCTCTTGACCTCGTGATCCACCCGCCTCGGCCTCCCAATGTGCTGGGATTACAGGCTTGAGCCACCGCGCCCGGCCTACTGTTAGTTATTTTTAAATACTTTTAGTTGTTTTAAAATATTAAAAGTACTTTGTTTTACAGTTTACAATTGTTCTTTACTACAGGGTTATCTTTATGGTAATAAAATTCATATAAACGTATGCTGAGGGCCGGGCGCAGTGGCTCAAGCCTGTAATCCCAGCACTTTGGGAGGCCGAGGCGGGTGGATCACGAGGTCAAGAGATCGAGACTATCCTGGTCAACATGGTGAAACCCCGTCTCTACTAAAACTACAAGTTTTAAAACTACAAATCTTAAGTATAAGATTTTTTTATACTTTAAAATCAAGTATAAAATTGATTTGCAGTAGCTTTGAAGGTCTCTTGAAAAAAAAAAAGAACAAAAAAAAAGAGTAGACTGGGATACTTTAACCCAAGCTTATCTCCCTCTCAATTTTTATGATTTAAGACCTGGTGGACTGATGAGGCTAATATTCAAGCTAATGTAAATGCTAATGTTCAACCTCCAATTAATATTGCCATAGAATAGTTGACAGGAACTGGTGTGTGGGCTCCTTTACATACACAGTCCATCCACTATGGCTGATGTAGTCATAGAGCAGATTAGAAAAGTGTGTTTAAGAGCTTGGGAGAAAATTACATCAGGAAGCGAAAAAAGTCCTTCTTTTGGGACTATTAAGCAGGAGTCGAAAGAACCATATGCTGACTTTATAACTCAATTGCAGGAAGGCATAAGAAAGGCCATATCAGAAACAGAAACTCGGAATGTTGTGTTTTGCTTTCTAGCATTCAACAATGCTAATTCTGAATGCCAGGCTGTTTTACAGCCACATAAAGGGAAAACTCACTCGGTGGATTATATTAAGGCATGTATGGAATAGGAGGAAATTTTTAAAAAGCTACCTTATTGGCACAAGCAATGGTAGGTTTAAAAATAAACAAAGGAGGCCGGGCGCGGTGGCTCATGCCTATAATCCCAGCACTTTGGGAGGCCGAGGTGGGTGGATCACAAGGTCAAGAGATCGAGACCATCCTGGTCAACATGGTGAAACCCCGTCTCTACTAAAAATACAAAAAATCAGCTGGGCATGGTGGCACGTGCCTGTAATCGCAGCTACTCAGGAGGCTGAGGCAGGAGAATTGCCTGAACCCAGGAGGCGGAGGTTGCGGTGAGCCGAGATCGCGCCATTGCACTCCAGCCTGGGTAACAAGAGCGAAACTCCGTCTCAAATAAATAAATGAAATAAACAAAGGAGGTCCTGGAGCTTGTTTTAATTATCGAAGGAGATAGTGGATATAGAACGCCACAAATGCAACTAAATTTAGCAAGATTAAATATTTTGAGTTTGCCAAGAGGAGGACATTAATCGGCTGAACAACACCTGAATAAACCAAGGAAGACACTGTAGGGCAATTAATCTGGTGGCAATATCCACTCACAGAGAATTGGGGAAAAGGCAGTGTAATAATATGGGGTAGAGGATTTGTTTGTGTTTCTCCAGGTTCAAAGAAGCGACCAGTGTGGGTACCATCCAGACATTGAAAGCTTTCACAGATGGCTGAGGGAAACCTGAAGAAAGCAGGACAGCCTGTTACTATGAGTAACTTAATGGCAGGTATGATGGCAGTTATCACCATTACAGTGAGTGTTCCTGGAGTTGGGGCAGAAGTAAAAGGAACTTTCACATATTGGGCATATATTACTTTCCTTTACAATGACTTGATTAGATCCCACAGTAAATATAAATGGGGGACTAGTAGGGCCATGACCAAAAATGGTATCACTGACAATAGGAGCTGAATAAAAAGAACTTTGGAAGATGCTTATGACCCTAAAACCAATAAAGGTTGGGGAAGGAAAATGTAATAGAGGACCAGGCCCTAATTCTTATTTATTAGAATTTATAAGGAAATAAAAGCTCTTTAGATTCAGAGCTGTGTTAAACTCCCCCTTATCTTTTGGTGGTGGGAGAGTTACAGCTTGACTCTATTAACTCTCTAAAGTGTAATGAGAATAAACACAATTGGGAAAGAATAAAACTTCACCTGGAAGGACATGCTGAACACCTATCACTGGATACAAGAAAATTAAAAGGACAAGTTTTTCAAGCTTTGCGAACACATCTAACTTTAATTCCAGAATCCGAGGTGCTTGAGGGCGCTGCTGATGGATTGGCAGCTCTAAATCCAGTGACTTGGGCGAGAACACTTGAAGGATCTGTGATTGCTGAATTGTGTTCTTGATTTGTCTTGTTTCTCTTTGTGTAGTCGGCAGGTGTGGATCCCAAATCCTCTGAGAAATAGTTCACCCAGATGAAGTTGTGCTTGCTTACCTAGTGTCAAAACAGGAAGGGAGAAGTGCTGAGTGTATAATAAAATATATTGTTTGCTAAGAAGAATGATGGCAAGGAATACTGTTAGTAATAATCCCCTGTTAGTGAGAATAAACATGTGGGTCAGAATCTGCTTGAGGCCCTCAGCCCAGAATGCTGTCAGCCCGCTGAGGCTCGCAGCTCCGAAGGCTGTTGGCCCCCAGATAGTCCCACTTTGCTGTTCTCTCTAGGTGTCTGCTTCTTAATGCCTTCAGCACCACCTGGTGGGAGTCTCTACGGCTGAGCTGGTCTCGGTAGAAGTATAAATAAAGTTGATATATTTCTAAGTCCTGAATAAATATTTAAAATAATTTGTTACATATTTCTCTTTGAAATGTTTTTTCTCTGCCTGCAGACGTACAATCTTTCAGTTTTTATTTACACAGAGTAAAATATATACATATATTACTCTAAAGATAAACCTTAGGTGTAAGAAAATTATGAAGTACATGTGTGAGTATGAGTTTGTATGCATTTTGAGAAGAAAAAAGCAATATTGGAACAAAACAAATTATTTTAGTAAGATGATCAACTAACTAGAAAACTAAAAACCTTGAAAATGTTGAAAGCAAATCTATATACTCTGTGCATTGTATTGAGTTCATTGCTGAGAAATATTAGGGCTTATTGTTCAGAATCTCCCTATGTACATTCTCTGTTTTTACTTGTCTGGTACTCATGCTAGACCCATAATTTTCTTGTTTTATAGTTTATGAAGTACTCATTATGTGAGCTAGTCAGGGATTCTAAGAATGATTTTTATGAAATTTAAGAGT